ATAGATAGATAGATAGATAGATAGATAGATAGATAGATAGATAGATAGATAGATAGATAGATAGATAGATAGATAGATAGATAGATAGATTAAAAAATTTCTTTGAAAGGTATTGTTTTTGCGAGCACAACTTTGACTGACTGAACTGATTGCAAGGCGTCTGCACCTCTGCTTGCAGCTGTGTGCTGATGTCCCATCAGCAGATGAGTCCAGACATCTCAAGTACTGAACAGGATTGAGGTGTCACTTGGATCCACCTCCGTCTTCTGACAGTGTCAATCAAACGAACAAAGAAAAAAGAGCTTTGAAGATATTATTGTCAGAACAGCAGCTCTTTTTAAATGATTTTTTAAACCAGGTGTGATAGTTGCTGAAAATATCAGCTATCCATACCTAAAGAAAAGAAAAACTGTGGTGACTCTGGGTGTAATACAAAAAAATGTATTCATCAAATTGAGCTATTTATAACCTCCTCCCTCCAATTTCAAACATCTGTGACTGTGTGGCGTTTCGGCGGAGTTAGGAAACAGCAGTTTTCCATTGAAAGCTGAACCCCTGTGATGTTACACGTTTTTAGCCAGAACTGCTGGGAGTTTGTGAAGCACAATAAACCTACAGTAGAGTTGGCACAATCGCCATGTACTACCAGTCACACAAGCTATATGATAAAAAGCAAAACACTTCAGTAGCCTCTGCGAATCCCTGCAATAAAAAGTGTTTTAAAAAGACAGCGAACAGCACAAAGAGAAAAAAAGAAAAAACAGACACACACTGCGCTCAAATTCACCACCTTTTGTCCCCTGTAACTGCTGTTAACCAGGCTGTGTAGTTCAAAAATATAAATCACAACAACTGTACTGAAAAATACAGTTATTTATCGTAAATCCACTGTCACTTCACGGGGAGTAGCCCACGGTGCAATAATGCGCCCCGGTGTTTCCTACATCGATCATTGTTCGGCACACTTTGATAGTGTCTGACGCTCAGTACTGAATCATATCCGAGCTGCAACAGAAGATGTGAAGAAATCCCATCAATTAACAGAAATCCGGCGTACACGGCAGCTCGCGTGGGGCGTTAAAGTCTCATTAATACAGTTTCCCTTTGCGCAAGGACCGTGCGTAAAAGGGTTCATCTCGACGCTTCTTTGGTTTAAATCATAAAATAGTCCTACCTCGCTCATGATGGACAGTAATGCCGACGTTTCCCTCCCTGCTTCCACTGCGTGTCTTGTTGGAAAGTGAAGTTTCGGGCACGGTGATCTTTAGAAGAGTGGCTCGCCGCGGACAGAGCAGCTTTATAAAGCGTTAAGCCCAACTCCTCCGTGTCATCACATCACTAATAAACCAATAGGAACGCCGTGGGCAAATGTGTGTCCCAAGTCACCACCCAACTTCTTCAAGCTTTCATACGCTGTGTAAGCCCTTTTCACGGTGATCAGCCAAACGGAGCCGCTCTCTCCTGTTGATGAACACCCACTCACAAAATGTGAGCACCGGGAGGCATTTCATGCGCCAGTCATCATGTCATCAATAAACAGCAACATGTACCACTGTCATTTCCACCTCAGCGTGTGCGCCAGTGTGAGCTCCGTGGCAAAAACTCTAGCAGCTTCTTTAATTTCCCTTAAAAAGGGTAATATTCACTGCTGGAAATCGACTTTATAATGTTTGTGGGAGTTCTCTGTTGTACAATTCCTCTTATATTGCTTTGCATTACATTACACTCAGATACAGGATGAGTTATGCCTGAATAAATGTTTACGCTGGCTTTTTCTTTCATGGAATCTCAAACAATGCTGAATTTATTGCATCAGAGAGTTTAAGATTTGTGTTTTAGGTTTATTAAATTTCTTGAAAATGAAGGTGCTTGTCTCCATTAAGAATATAAAGTATTTCTAGTAATCCTTTTACTGCAATCTACAGTAACTGTATCCAGCCCTGTCCATTTCCCTTTTCATCCCATCAAGCATCTATTTCAAATTGTAGTAGGTAATCATCATTTGTCCTCGATCCCTTGATCCATTTTAAAAATTGCATGCAATGTTTGTCAAACTGAGCATTTTAAATAGCAAGCAGCTTCAATCCGGTATCCAGAAGGTAACTTCCATCTGCATCATGTACATGTACATGGAAATTGCCTCAGATAAAGAGGAACAGGTCCAGTATTCACAAAGCTTTGATGTGGATGCTATTTGAAGGTTGTTCGGCTTTCTTGTGGACTATCACTGGAGTGCCTTGAAGTCCCAGTGGAGTTCAGATAGATGGAAGAAGAGGAAAGCACTTACAAATGAAGCCTAACGGCGCTGCTGCGCTGACCTATGTGAGTCTCAGAGTTAATGTCAAATGCTGACGAGCTGAGGCGGATTTGTAGTGAAAATGGCTTTGGGTGTCTTTGTTCTGCAGAAACAGACCTCGTCAGCTTGAGGTAGTTGGAGGAAAAAGAAGTTGCTTTGCCAAATGTAGCAGCTAGTAATGCAGCTGGTAGAGGGTTACAAAGTTAGTGCAAAGCAATGTACTGCTGCGTTACAGCTGCTTGTATTAAAAACAGTTTACTCCTTGTACAGAAAGACTGTTTGTATCACTCAGTATATCTTCCTTCCTTAACCTGAAAGGAGAACATACTCGATGTGTTACATCACTGTGTTATTGACAAACTCAGTGTCATTAATGAGTTACTGTGTCCTACAGTGCCCAGTTGCTCTGCAAACCTAAAAAAGAACAACTAGGGTTACAAAAAATGAATGTTACAGAGTATAAATTCTTAATCTAAGAGCGTTATTGAAAGTTAATGCAACTTGAAAGTTATCTTGCTCTACAGTATTCAATTCAAGCATTTGCTCATGCAAGGTCTTTTTAAAACTTCACTCGGTCTTTAGCTCACAGAACTCCAGCTGCTAAATCTCTATTTTGTAGTTGTTCATACATATAGATTATTAGCATTTGTATCCACATTTCAGAGCTATAAAAAGTTTTCTATGGATATAGTTGCATTTTTTTCCCAGCATGAAGTTGTGGCCTAGTGCAGCCAAGCTGGAAGTTCCGTAAATCTGCATTATTTCTAATGGCCAGCAGAGGGAGACTGCTGTGGCCTCATATCTCACTGGATTTCCTGTTTATGGTGACAATAGCTAGTTGTAAGTAGAGCGGAACCGATTAATCTTAAAAGTTCCCATATCAGTTTGACTCTAGTTTTAAGTCACTGATACATGTTCACATATGATGTTCATTTCCTCAGTGGAAAATCAACAGTTTAGCTGTCACGGCTGGGGCGGCAGTCGTGTGGAGGGTGAGAAAGGAGGATCCAATGGCAGACAATGGTGGAGGTGCAAGTGGGTTTTATTTACAGTGCAAATAACAGAAGTGAGGGCAGGACAGAACATAAAGCTAAACTGGGTGAAACTAACAAACAAACCTGGAACATAAGGTCAGCGGGAGAAACTCGGAGATAGCAGATGAGGACGGCAGAACAGAGAGACGTAGAGAAACATAGGGAATGAACACAGACCGACACCCACTATATATACACACACAAGGTAATCGGGTAATCGCACACAGGAGGGAAGAACAGCTGATCTGAATACACATGATGACTGGAGGACACAAGCTGACCACAATGACAACAGACACAGACCTTCAGAATAAAACAGGAAATCCAGAACACGAGCCTTCAAAGTAAAGCAGGGAACACACAGACTGATTTACAACACAACACGGGGACATGAACAGAGCACCAAGGACAGACACAGGTAGGGCTGAATATACACCAAACTTCAGGAAACACAAAACGCTGGGTCAAAATGACCCAGGACCATGACATTAGCAGAGTGTGGTTATCAGATCCAGTCTTTGCATGTGCCTTGTGGCTCCAAAATTCCAAAAATGGAATTCTATTCATTAAAATGTTATTTATATAGTGCCAAACAGTTGCCTCAAGGAACTTTATATTGTAAGGTAAATACACTACAAAAAATACGAAAAGAAATAGAGAAAACCCCAAAAATCAGATGACCCCCAATGCACTTTGGTGACAGTGGGAAGGGAAAACTCTCTTTTAACAGGAAGATACATCTAGCAGAACCAGGCTCAGGGAGGGGCGGTCATCTACTCCGACCAGTTGAGGGTGAGGGGAGGAAGACAGGGCAATGGCATGCTGTAGAAGAGAGCCAGAGATTATTAATTACTAATGATTAACTGCAGAGTGGCATGTCAACACACAGTGCTTAAAAAAAGATCATGACAAACCAACAGCAGTCCAAAAAACAAAGACATTTGCTCTAGTTATCAAGACAACAAAAGTGAAGGAAGTCATATATACATGTAAGTCTGATGACTTCCTTGGTGTTCAGTCTAGCAGGACACAAAAACTCTATGAACTGCTGTGAAACACAAGTACCCAAAAACTCTGTATAGGATTGTATAAATGTTCAAACTGTGTGATTTCAGCAAGAGTTCTGGCATGCAGAGACTATAATACAATCATTACACGTTACTGAACCCTTCTTTTTTTAACCTTTGAAATGTGAAAATTTCTACAATTTTCCAAGAAGAAATAACCATAATGAAGACATACTGGGGTAAAAAGTGGAATAAGAACATTTTTACTGTGCACTTCCTCATCTTCATCTTCACATACAGTATATCCTCAGGATAAAAGACAAAGCCTGTCTTGAAAACAGTGCACCTAACAGAATAACCTAATGTTTAAATGTTTAACTGCTGCAATTAAAAGGCAAAAGAAGAAAACAGCTGATTTTGTCCACAGGGAAGACAGCAGTGAAACATTTACAATCAGGAACAGATTGCCAGTCAGCTAGTGGCTCGGAGACGTCAGAGCAACATTTTGAGAAACATCTGGCTGTCCTTGAGGAGAAACTGAGCATCACCTTAAAGTGAGGGAAGGTGTTTTCATCTAAGGATGCATAACATGCAAAATGAGCATGAACTTACGAACTGACCGTCATGTGCGTGTGTGTGTGTTCATTAATTAAGAGGAAAAAAAGTTTTCCAGACCTCTTTGGCCCTGTGTGAAAAACTGACTGCCCAGACATTCCTGTAATAACAAAACTGAAAGTTTGTGTTAATTCACAGTTCCTTTAGTGTAATATAAATGGCCATGTGGGTCGGTCTGTGTTAAATGAAAAAGCTGTAAAAAGTCCAAAATTTACACTCTCTGTCACAGTTAACACAGCTCTCCAGTGGGCCAATTCTGGGCCCCAGGACTTATGTTTGTCACCTCTGCATTAGACTAAAAATAGGAAGCCACCAGGAAAAATCAGTGGTTACTCTTGCAGCACCAACGACGTCTGATCCTGAGGCGACGGCAGTGGTTGCCTGGTTGGAGGAAACCTGAGGCAGACTGGCAGCAATCACTCTCAGACAGATTTTCAAAGGTGTGCAAATAACTGGCATCCAACTGATGAATGCAGACAGACTCCCAACACGTTGACTGTTGTTGAAATCGCCATCCTGCAACAAATATGTCACCATTAGTAGAAGGTTCTGCGTGAGCTCCCTAGTTAATGTGAATTCCTGTGCATGCAGACAGCACCAGATTTGGGAACTTTACTTGCAAACTGATAGCAGACAGACATCTTATTGCTGTAATTGCCTGCGACTGGTCATAAACTTGTTGCCATCTCCCAAGCAGCCATTTCAAAGTTCATTGCATGCAGTCACAGTACGTTTGGTCTCCAATCACAGTTTTCTTTGTGTGACAGTAGAATAATGAAATGTCCATTAAACTACAACCAAGCTGGATTTGAATTACACTGTATTCTGATGTGGGATTGGTTATTGTTTGCTTATTATTAAACACTGCACCTTAAAACTTCCCATTAACAGTGTTAATGCTGTTATATCTTCGGTAAGGTTTGGATTCATGAATTAAAAACCTCTGTTTTGTTTTCCTGCAGATACTCTTCCCTCAGAGAGTTTCACTGAACCTATTTTTATTCTCTACGTTGTGTGTCTGGATGATACAGTGCGCACATTTATGTAAATATATGTTAACTAGGCCTTTTGTAGACATTTGAGTTCTCCAAAACTAAAATTATTTTTGCTGTTTTGTTAGGAAGCTCTATATACACACAGCAAGTCCACGCTGTCTTTGACCTGAAAATAAATAAAAATCTGGTTAAAATATTTTTCATAATCTAAAACGTAATCACTGTCATTTATTTAAATTCAAAAAGCATCATTTGCAGTTTTCCAGAGTACAGCAAAGAAGTGACACAAACACATGAAATTCTGTGTTTGATCACGTTGTTCTTCCTTGGCTCCTCCATAAAGCATGCACTAGCTCTCACACAATCAATCCCATCTTTATTAAAGAGACACAGAGAAGCATTTCGACCACGGGCAGTTTTTCCTTTCATCTGCTTCTATCTGAGGAAGCCAATCTCAGCGCAGCAGGTTGGTACACAGGAACAAAGAGAGTGGCCGCAGTGCCCTTTTTGCTACAGGGTGATGCTGTGGATAAAAATAAACACCTTCACATATCCATTTGAAACAATATGAGCATG